AAACTCAATCACGTTTCGAAACAGCTCTATCCAGTCTTATGGAAATCTAAAGTGGTGAATTGTGTCACATGCGAAGAAACACGTAACTTAACCGCACAACGTGTTCTAGAAACGTACATTCATCACAGACTAAACAAACTTTAGAGATATGTGTATCATCAAAAGTTTTACTTGCAGCATTTTTAAACGTTATTAAATCATTTAGACGACATTACTTGTAAAATAATGTTCATTCACTTTTATCGCAATTCATCGCCGATGGGAAATACAATTTTATTGCTTTATGGAAAATGTGTAAATAAAATTAATTTAGTGGCGTCCAAAAGCAAGGATTTAATCTTTATTTATTTCAATCGAGAAGACTGCATAAGAAGCATACTGCAGCAACCTCGATCTTATTAATGACGAATGACGTCACACGAGATTGCGATGGCTACCCAGATTTACGTTGAGTTGGGTTGGGGTCGGTTAGGTTGTGTTATTTGGGGGGGATCTGCGCAGATGTTTATAGACGAAAAATGCGGACGTCAAAGTGAAGGTAGGTGCTATGTGGGAACAAATGTTCTGATAAAGATGATAATTATTTTGGTCTTCTAGGTTATGACGCCCTGCAGTCCTGTAGTTCGTTATGAACGCTTTGGAGGAACATATCGCCTCCACCATCAGGGTCAAACACAGATTGCCACAATTAATATCTGCTTTGTACGATGTATTATTGAACATAACTTCTGTAATTACGTAATTCGAAACCTCTTAAATAAACACAGTGCCCAAAAATAATAAACCAATAACAAAATAATTTCTTCCAAGTTCAGAGAAACTTATTATTTACCTTCACTGTATCTCTTTTTACGCCTAATTTCACAGATACAAGTATCCCCTCATAAAGCCCATGAATTATTTTTATTTGTTCTTGAAAGATCCAAATCATAAACATGTATTATTTCAATCAAGTATCCCCTCATAAAGCCCATGAATAATTTTTATTTGTTCTTGAGAGATCCAAATCATAAACATGTATTAGTTCAAGATTCCAGATTATTATAAACTTTCGTATTCAGTTCGACTTAAATGTAAAATAGTTATGTCGAAGGTATCGTGTTTCTTTGTTAATTGATTTCGACATTTTTTCTAAGCCATAATTTTTCATACATGCTTGAGATAATCCGATAATGAGTTTTAATATTCTTGTATCTTCAGCAGATTTTTACAGCTAAAGCTCCCCCCCCCCAGATATTCAGCCAGTCCTCCTCGATGAAATTGAGTTTCTGTATAGATCAGTTCCATTTTATTCAAATTAAATAGCAGAGTGAATCCCTTCGAGCTACGTTCAAGTACACATTCTATGTCGAAACATCCGAAGACCGTCACATTACCATTTTAACTCGACTACGTCTGCTGTGTTTCAAATCTTCGAAATGAAATATCATTTTCAATTCATACGTATTGATTACAATTATTAATTTATTGATTTATTCTTAAGCTCTTTAATAACTTTGTTCTAAATGCATCCCTACAGGACGAATAATATTAGGTGATGTTGGGATAATATTAAAATGGTTCAGAAGTAGCGTGTTGACTACATCTAATTGTCCCAGGTTAGGAGCTATGGTGTGGATTTTGAGCACGGTAATAGGCCTTCCAGTTAATAAAGGTCAAGGAATTTATTGACCAGCTAAATAACTATTGGTTTTCTTAATAAGGGCTCTTCTCATGGAGTCTTGTAGATTCTTCGGAATAAGTAGTTATAAAGTTAACATTCTAACAGGTGATAATCATATCAGCAAGAAAATTTATATGATACTGTGCTACTATTTGGAGTTTCGCGTCAGTCGTTAAGTCAAACCAATTGGGTTTGAGGTTATCTGCATATTAATAGGTTCTGAAAAATTGGAGGTCTGAAACAACATGAATTCATTTTCTCTGAAAGAGTTGCAACATATTTTGAATGTAACGTAAGAAAACACTAAATGTATTCTGGAATTCAAAACCTTTACTTAAAGAAAAGTAGGTCGCATAATATGTGACCTAGTTTAAGACAGAAGATTAAGTAGATTTGTTGAACCGTGGGTGTCATGATAACCAGATTTAAAGCAAAAATATAAATGGAGGAAAGACGTGAACTACGAAACGTGTTTTCCTTTATGTTTTTAAACTTTGAGGCTGAAGACAACCCATGTAATTATGTAAAGAAGCTGACACCGTAAATAAAAGAGGAGCTTGAAAAATCTTCTTAATTCTTCGGTTCTCCACCTGAGTTTTTTCGCATCTCCTCTCATATTTTAAGGTCCCGGTACCATTATTACAAACTTTGTTTTGAGGTTGTAAAAATTAATGATAGAGCAGTAAATTCTCTCCGCCTTTACATGGAGATCGACCGTAAACCTTAAGTGCAGACGAAGGCAAGGAAACTTAACTGCATAGATTCTGAACGTCATTTAAGGAACGCTGATTGTAAAATTCAAAACAATTTTTATTAATCATCGCCAATTTTTATACACTGAACACATACAGTAGCAAACTTGTAATGTGTGATTATTTCTGAAAAGCAAAGATCTATTTTAAAGAAAGTATTTTTAAGTCCCAAACATAATAGTTTGGAAAAAAATTATAAAAAAATGGTTTTCTCATGGATTGTTGCGTCAAGTTGTGCGGTAGAACTTCACCGGCGTTTCACAGGAGTTTACCTCTTCCATCCTCAGGTCAATGTTGCAACCTCACTTAAAGTCGCCCGGTATTTAACCCAGGTTTCTGCTATTACAAATCAGCGTCTAGGCTCCTGAGCTATTTCAACAGGAAATACACATGGTAACAGCCGTAAAATATAAATACAGATTTTTATAAAATTCTGTGAAAGTGACAAAATATATTACTCCAGAGTTTAATGAAGAAAAGTGGCCCTGAGAAATAAGCCAAGAAATGTAAAGAGTAAGTATTCTCCACGTTTAACCACCATACTATGACGATGGATGGTGTTGGATGGACATAAGTCTTGAAATAAATTTAACTAAAGAGAAATAAAATGGTCCGACAGAATTTCGTATTTGTCTAATAGATTAAATTTGGACGAAATAGGTTCAATAGTTTCGGTAATGCCACGAAACTCCACGTCGCATCTAATATGCTACGCGGTTTTACATTTATTTTTTTATAAATACGTCATAAAAGGTATTTTAATTACGAGTTATGATGTAAGTGCTGTTATGTGCGGTTAGTGAACGGTGTTGTCTGAAAGACGCTGTGTGTCTCGGGGCTTTAGCTTCGTTAGTCTGCAACAATCCATCATCCGTATTTCTCATAGGAATAATACAGTGCATTTCGCTTGCTTGGATGCAGACAGAACAAGCAGACCTTATCTTCAAACTACAGTGAAATACATCATCGCATTGTCTACCTCCTAACTCCATGGAGGAATGCCAAGAGACTGATTGTCGTTCAACTGGTCTAAAAATTCTCCACCTTTTCATGGGACAGAAGATCCATTACCGTTAAGAACCCGCCACTGATCGCTTTCCTGCGTTAGATAAATCTAATCCACACCTAACAAACATTCCAAGAAGCGGAAGGTGTTTTGAGAAGCTAACAGTCGCTCAATTGGTAAAAAATTCTCAGTCCTTTGTTAAACCAGAAATGTTACTGCTACTTTCACAAGAGGCTGATACCAGACCATTTCCAGAACCACATAAGTACAGGGCGCATCCTCATATTTTATTTAATTTTTCATAAACTTGTGAACAAAAGGCTCTTGGCCTACTCAAAGGCTTTCGACATCCGTATTTTTCGCGTCAACAGTTTAAGAGTGGTAATCAGTTACAATAAGGATAATGACTCTTCTGGGTTGTTTCGCCGTGTAGTCTGGTAAAAGTTTACCGACGTTTCGGAGGTGCTTACCACTACAATCATAACGGCCCTCATCGCCCTGATACATCGACCAGACTACACAGTGCAACAACCCAGAAGACAGAAATCTTCACACTCGCCGCCATGAGATTCTTAAATCTCATCAAATACAGCAACATTTTTTAAAGTTGTAAATTAATTTTCTAATAATAGCTCATAACATTAAAAAATAAAAATGTCAATATCATAAACATACAATTTAATATAAAAATTACGTCGTAGATATGTTTAAAGTTTGAAAATTAGTGATATTATAAAGATATTGACTGAAATATGCGTCTTGTTATTCTCAGTACATTATTATTTACATTTGCTTTTAACTCTAATAGCCCTACCAGATAAATAACCCGACAAAAGTCGATTTTTATCCAGTGGTTATCCAGCCTGTAAATGAGCTGAACTCTCTAATAAATTCAATGGTGCAGTCAAAGGTTAAAACGTTTTGCTGAGTGAATAGTTCCGATTCTCGCCACATAACAATACACCTTGGTTGTGATATAATATATTGAATGTTCTGCAAGAGAGGCTTAAGTAAAAAAGCTATTTGTATATACTTCGGGCCTTCTCGCCAATAAATGAAGCTATTTGAAAGAGGGATCTTAAAGAAACAGCTAAGCAACAAGTCAGCGACCATCTAGCAACTGTCTTCCATACGTTGTCTACGTAATGTACTTAACATACGCAAATTAAATGTCCAGTGTCTTCGAATTTATATGCAGTCCCACGCAACGTGTCTAAAGTCTTGTGCTGGTTTTACAATTGCTTGGTATGGGAATAATTACAGCGGTACCGCAATGTAGCTGTGCATTAACGGACTAAGAGCCAGTAGCTGGTTTTATTTATGCAACAGTAAAATACTGTCACATTCAGAAATGAAGGCATCAAATAAGACATGGGATAAATTGAAAGACAAAGACAGCTGTGACGTTATTTTGCACATAATAAACCAAGAACGTCACCAGTTCGAACACCTGCTCCAGCAACAAACAAAAACTTATGTTTTCAAGTAAGAATCTAACAAACCGTGTGGGACTACGAAACATATAAAGTTCAAAGGCATTGAACATTTATCTGAATATTAAAGAAAAGTCGTGGCCTACCTCTGTCACTACAGTAGTGGCGTATTGTGTGTAGTCAAAATTCCACCCATGCAAACAGCCTGTGGTGGGAAGAGAGAGGTTGCTGGCAGATACTTGCTGTTCGAGACGATCCAGGTCTTCCTCAGTTTCTACCTGCACCAACAGAGCTGAATAGTTGCGGTCAAACATTTGGCACTGACTGTACCTCAGCGTTCCATCTCTCATCTCATGAGGAATACTGCAACAAGCAAAATATCAGACGTATCACGTGAGGTTGTATTCTTTTATCACGCAAACTTCGTATAAAATACGACAGAAATGTTCTTAGATTATCATTACGTTATTTATTATCATAGTAAATTGTCTTTTTTAGTACACATGCTCCGTTTACTACTGCTGCCTCATAAAAAGGCCATAGAACACAGAACACACGGATACATCCCGGACTGTGACTTAAAAATACATATAATCTTCAACAGAATGTATAAAAATCTAGCTTCTGTAACGTCGTGACGTAGCTCATTCGGAAGATGACAGCTTCCCAGATGGCCAAGAAAACCGTGTTTTATTTAATTTGAAAGTTCATTATCGTACTAATAACAGCCGAGGCCAAATTAATACAATCTGCAACTTCACACCTTTATTTCCGATCCATCCTAATGCCCTCCCTTCTACTTCGAGGTCTTGCCAAAAGTCTCCTCCTTCAGATTTTCCGACTAAAGCTCTCTAAACTGTTGTACGCATTCTTCATCTCTTTTACGTGTACTAATTGACCCCTCCTGTATTTGAACACACCCTTATAACAAGTTATTTGATGAAGATTTCTGTCTTCTGAGTTGTTGGGCTGTGTAGTCTGGTCGATGTTTACCAACGTTTCAGAGGTCATACTGCCTCCTTCACCGCTGTGAAAACCTCAAATCATACATATCATTTGACGAAGATCACAAATTAGGCTATGAAGCCCTACATTATATAATTATCTTCATTCTGCTGTCATTTCCACTGTCATAGACACAGTGTTCTAAAACACCCTCTGATTTTCTCTCTCTTATGTTGATAAAGAGTTTCAAACAAAGAACAAGAATTGTAAGAATTTAACATACTGTATCATCAATGCTTCATTTAAAATAATTCTGTCAATGTCTGAAAAATAATCAAGACAGTAAATGTTGTTGGATGACTAAATAACAATTGACGAACAAAGTGGTGCTGTAGATTATTTTAAATATCTTCATTATCATTATCGTCGCCGTCAAACTTCCGAGACATTTATCGACCAATTCCGACTTCTGCTGTTAACCCTGTCTTGTTCATCATGGTCTGTATTTCATCATTACGCCTAAGTTTGAAAATCTTTCCCTTCCGTAGTCTGTCAAACCTGACATATTAATTTATTCATGTAGTTTTAGACCTTGGTCAGTGATAATTCACTCTGAACTTCATCCGAAATGTCTTAGTTCCCTTTTGGTATTCTGACCATGTACATTTCCAGTCGACATGAATTTCATATCAGTAGTTATAATTCTGAATATGACTGTGTCTTTATTACTCCTCTGGAGAGGTGAGTAAGTTCGCGTGTTGCAGAACCGAGACGAGTGTCATCTGATGGGGATTCCTATTGCTGGGGTCATGAATTCGAATCATCTCGGGCAGCGTTGCTAGCGGTAGTTCTCTGAGCATAAAGACTTCACCGTTTATATTAGAAGAACTTGGACAAGTCTGCATAGATAACAGCTGCAAGGGTTAAAATTCGAAAGTAATTCGCTATTAACACAAATCTATCATTCTATACCAGGGCCAACGCATTTTATATTTGTATAAAAAAAATTACACAAAAATGTATCGAATTTTATCCCGCGTATGTTTATAAAATTACTTCGATACAAAATACTTAGTTGATATAACTTTTTATACAGTAAGGATATTTGGGGTGTGTGCTGGCTCATCGCGTGGCCTTTCCGCTATGGGCTACTAGTGCGAGTCTGTTGCCGAGTTTCTTAGTTCACGCGGCACAGCCACCAAACTTACTCACTGAAGAAAGTACGATTCAGCTATAGGTTTATCAGTGACCTCGAGTCCGTTCATACAAACTGGTTACTGGGATGAATTCAAGTATAGAGTAAAATAGTGTAGTTCTAAAGTAGACATTAGTAGAAGACTGACGATTCATTTTCCATGCTCAATATGTGTGACAAAAAAATATATTCTCTTGAACGGCTTCATGCATTAGTTTCCGTAGTTTATACCGACTCCAGTGTTTGTATTCATAACTTATCTTTATTTTCTACTGTCTTTCCGTTTTTCGTTTGGTGTAGGATGATACTGACAAAATCCTTCGACAAATCTTTGTCCAATTCTTTTTCAAGACATTTCTCACTTTCGTCTATGTTTCTGTTAAAATGCTGGTTTACGTAGAGGGTGGGATACGCATGTATACTATTGAAAATACTCAACAGATCAGTTACTTTTCAGTTTTGAAGATGACTTGTCTTTTGAGATTCTACGCAGTGCCGGCAACAAGTACCTCTGAAATGTCAGCAAACTACTATCACACTACATGGCGCAACATTCCGAAAGACAACCATCTTCATACTCACCTCAGCGAGAACCTGAAATCTCAACTTTTCGATTTATTCGCCAGAAACTTCCTGCTGTTATTCAGTAAACTAAAATGCATTTTTGTAACGTGCCGATTATTAAATTTAAAACACCGAGGGAACTAAAATTTACATTTTACTTTGATTGTAACGTTCATTTATTTACTTATCCATTAGTTTATTTTGCTTTCGGATGTCTGTTTTATTCGTTTTTAATGGACATTTGAGTTCATGGAGATTATAGAATCAAATCCGTCGTCCCGTGGAATATTACAATATTCAATCTTTCATTCTCCATTTCATCCGTTTTAAGAACCATGATCCTCTAAAAAATACAGAACGTCCCAAAAATATTTATACCCATAAGGTTAATATTCCGTATTATGGGTGCACATGTTTTTGGGACATTCTCCATTTTAACACGCGTATCCCAGCATGCATCGCAAAGGACATTGTCGAGAGACAGCAATAGAGCAGTCGGATAATTGGTCTTGCAATCCGAACCACGTGCCTGCTAACCTTATTGACACAGTTTGGGAAAGGAATTGATTGAGAAAGTTGTGACTTTCTCTAAAAACCAAAAACTGACTCTCCATATTGGCCTACTAAAGTATTCTATCTACAAACAAGTAGTTCTGAAAAGAAATACATTAAACATTTTAATCTATATCGAAAGTTTAAGGGGAATTTTAAATAAATAACTATAACAATTTATAATTCATAGTTTAATAAGTAGATAAATAGTAAAATAAAACAAAGTTTAATGCAAAATGTGTCAATAGTTTATATTGTATGTCAGTACCAGATTTAAAATTTATAGTTGCAATAGATATACTCACAACAGCGAAATCTAAAGAAACTCAAGACAGATCTGCACTCTTTTATTTATTTTCTACATTTCACTAGAGAAGTAGCTCTTTAAAAGCAGGTAAATCCTTCAATATAAAAATAAACTGTATGTCTTTCTTTCTTTCTTTCTTTCTTTTTATTAGCAGTCTATAGGCTATATTTGACGCTAAGTATAAAAGAAAAGTATTTAGTACTCAGTAAAGGTGCATCATAAATTTCTGACCCGTGGTCTGGATTAGGCTTATAAATATAAGTTTAATTTTATTTATGTGTAAAGTACGTACCTGTAGTAAACCTTAACTAACCAAAATGGATATCTGCTCAGGTCCTTTTACGTTTTACTCTCTGCGCGTTGCATCAACTTCTCACACGTACACAGATACCAATATTTCAGTTGAACATACAGTTTCCATCTTCAACCCCAAATATGGAGCCAGCAGGCTTATATTTCTCCTAAAATATTGTGTCTATCTACAAATCTACGCGGCGTCACAACGCAAAATAATTTTATCACCGTGAGAATTTCAAAGCTCATAAAGACAAAATAAAACCAGACTTGTTATTTTTATGTTCCTCTCAGTTGTTTTATGACAGACTAATTCCCTGGCAAGACATCCCATCGTGTCTGAAGGATCTGCCATTTCATAGCTAGTTTAACCCCCTGGAAGTCACATTTCCTCATTAAGCACAGTCAAATATAAACAAAGATGTGGGATGCTGTTGTTGTGGCTGATGACGTAAGCAGCACATTATAAAGCGACGTAATTAAGCGTCATTACCACCCGACATGCAGTCCGTAGAGTCAAGGATATGTCTTTACGCCGAACGAAAGAAGTTTAAAAACAGATATTGTCAACAAAGTCCAGTCCAGCACACATTAAAACTGCAATTCTTGCTTCTGCAGACCGTGCCATAATCTAAACACTCCTAATACGAGGTGCGATCGGAAAGTTTCAAGACTGTGTCAATAGAGGGCGAACCGGATGTAGTACGAGCTTCTGCCGCTAGGGGGTGCGGCCTACATTCATAGTGAATCAGTGTGCCAGCCGGCATCATCGAATTAGCATTTGTTTCTTAGTTACGGGCGTTTTGGTAGTGCATTACACCGACCCTCCTGCGATTGCGGA